CCGACAAAGCTCTTCGGCAGTGCTTCAAACTACTTACACAAACTATTGTTCCTGGAGCAACAAGCTTGTACCACTAGCTAATCCTATACTAATCCAGGACAAGATAAGGTCGAGAAGATCTTGTACCTAACATTCAGATTCCAACGCTAATAAGCTCTAGAACTTTGACTTGAGTTTTGGAACCTTACCAGTTGTAAAGGAATCAACTCCTCGCGTCTAAACTTTACGATCCTTGATACACGAAAACTCTCTTTCTATCCCAATCTTTGTCACAAATTTGAGGATCACGTAGTTCTTCAACTCAGCACTGCAAGAATGAGGAGGGAAAAAAAAATACCAACACTATGGTCGTTGACCAATTGCTCTAGGAACAGTAACATCTTATAAAGGTTGGCCGCAGGACAAGAGTAGAAATTGCTGTAGTTGACGACCACAATCAGCTTTGGATCGACAGCACTACCACAGCTTACTTCACATGTACGAGAAGTAAACGCCTCAGAGAGTCTATCCACTGCCATAGCATGAAAAAAATATATATACATCCGGATCTTTCCCTGGCAGGAACTAGGAGCAAGAGAAAACAAAACAAGAGGGCTTGATTGCAGTGCAATCACTGGAATACGATCGACCAAGGAGAACATCCCAAAAAAATCAGAGATCCAACCTGTACGAGAAACAAACAAAAGAGCAAGAAACGGCTCTAGCGCTTGCCAACAAATGCGGAGCTTTCGCACAACAAAAAAAATAAGAGACCCAGAAGTGATGCACTGCAATGCGAAGGGGACAAAAAAAAAAAAAATGTTTCAAAGCGCCAGGAGCTCGTGAAGGCGTGACGAGAGAAAAAAACGAAAACAAGAGAGAGTTTGGATCCGGTGCAGCCTGGATCCCTATTGACAAGGAGGTTGCCGAAATTCGGGAGCAGCCCCTAATAGATCTCTTGTAGATTTTATTGGTTTAAATTTTGTTGCATTAATAGTGTTTTAAATTTTGATGTGTAGTATTAGACGTACTAAACTTTCAAAGATACTTGGTGGTGGTGATGGTTGTGCCATTTTTGCTTATATGATGTGTATGTAGAATTTTGTAAAAATTTAATGGAAAATAAATTGTACATTGTATAGAATTATTTTAGCCAATTTTTGCTAATTTTTTTTTCCACCCTTCCTTGAATGTTATAAGTCTTCTTGTAACATTGCTACATTTTGAGTCATGTAATTGTTACTTGAGGCAATAAGAATTGGAGCAATTAAGGCCAATGCCACAATTTGTGTCAACACTTCAAAAGTAACCATAATATCTTCATGCAATTGCAGCTGATATTCATAGAGAGTTTTCACATAGGTTGGTGTAACTATAGTAGTATGAATCACAAGCAAGCAAAAAAAATATGTACATCTTCTATAATTTTGTTGGTATAATTAAAGTGATATAAATCATGTAGAAGTCAATCAAATATTTGAACCTTTTGCAATTTTATTGATATGTGAAGCTCTTTAGAGAAGATTGCCATTTAAACATATTGAATCATAATATAGACTTTTGTAGACAATTTCATAGAGCTAATTTTGCAACCTCATAAAACATAGAAGACATTGTAGATGAAAATATGAAGAGTGCTAGAAACAATCTAAATAAGGCCAAAGTAAGCTTTGATGAGCTTATGAAAAAGAGTAGCTATGTCTCTAATTTTCTCAATTATAATACAACATGAAATCAAGGTTTTTAAAATATTAGATAATTTTTATATTAGTAAATTAATATCTTCAATTTACTATCTTAAATTTTATACTACTTTTTTTGGATTGTTAATGATGATGTTCATGTAGATTATGTTAGAGTTGCATAGTTTGATGGAATTATGAGATGCCTTTGTTGTAGTTACTAGAACCAAATGTCTTTTTATTGGCTTGATTCCTTTGCTGTAATCTTTGTTTTTTTTTCCTTTCTCAAAGAAAAAAGACAAATCTTTCACACATACATCTTTTCCTATAGCCATGGCTTTCTTTTGACATAGATTGTTATTGGTGTAGTAGTAGTAGTCATAGTAATAATGGTTGCTACCAATTGGTTTCCTAACTCTACTCACCTTTACAACAAAATAAGAGTATAAGTCTATGTGTGTGTGGGTATGAAAACAAGAGTTGGAGATTAAGTAAAAAGAATAATAATAATAGTGTTAATAAATTTTTCCATATAATATTGACATATTTTTTATATGTCCATATGGTATATTTTGCTTCAATATAATCTAAGATATAGTTGATTTTTTACATATTATCTATAAAACAAATATACACACACAAATTCAATTTATAGTATTACAATATGTATACATATAATCCTATACTATTCTACTTAATTAGATGATTAATAAGATTTATAGAGTAGAATCAAATAAACTAGAGAGATGAGTATATATTATCAAATGAATAAAAATATAGGAGATGTTAATATATGAATAATATACTTGGAATTGAGATATTCTAGAATCCAAGACTAACTAGAAGCTAAGGAGAGTCAAAAAGTTGTCATAGCTTCTATGATAGAAATTTGCTCTCATAATACAAACTTATTTGGATTTTATTAGAAGTTTGAAGCAATTCTTTGAGTAAGGTTCATCTTTGAAGTAGCAAAGAGTATGCACTATTGGCCAATATAGAAAATAAATGATCCTTGTGATTTTTTCTATTGACAAGAAAGCATTATTTGGATGCTATGTTATGTTAAACATATCTTTGTGCACTTCTAAGGCACCACAACTGCATTAGATAAAGTCTTCCAATTTCAAATAAGACATAGTGTTGATATCTTTGAGGTTTGTACAATAGACAAAAGATACACAATTAGCATGATAGAAAAGACAAATACTATTTGTGCAATATTACATTGAAGAACCAAAAAAGTAATGATACATTGTTAAGGAATTTTCAAAAATTATAGCACCTCTAATTTATCAATTTTAAGAGTAGCCTTGTTCCACACACTCAAAACATTGGACATGTACAATAGTAGGATTACCATTACCTAAAGGCAGTATATTAAGATGAATTCACTAATTGGTATGTTTTAAAACTAGATGTCAATCTCCACTAAAAATTTACATCTTTTGATCAATACTCACTTCATAAATTTATTATTTTAATAATTTTAAAATCAATTTTTTGGATTTGACTTTCTATATGTCTTGTTCACCTTATCAAGTGGTTTTTAACTATTCAATTTCCTCTTTTGAAACGTACTAACAATAAAGATGTGGAGTGAGGATTCTAAGCTTGGATTTTCCAAAGTTCCATAAAAGTAGACAAACTCATCCAAATCCAAGTTGTATATCTTATTTTTTAATTTTTAATTTTTAATTTTTTTAAAAAGGTTTTAGAATTGTATACTAAAACTTATAAAATCTGAACTTGGAGAAGTAAAATATATATATATATATATATATTAAGGTATTATTATGTATGTTAATATATATATATATATATATATATATATATATCATTATTGAATAAATAAATACATATTGATTTGGTACAAAGTGATATTAAATATAGATGACAAAATTCATTAAAAGAATTGTCTAGGAGTGAATTTTTTAGAAATTATAACTATATAATTTCATTATACAAATGAGAAATTTTTATTATTCAAAATTTAGAATTTTCTAAACCTACATTCTCATTTTTGTTTCATCAATTTGTATATCATATGAAGTTCAAAAATTGATTATTACTTAGGTTGTCCTAAGTCATTAAAATAGGACTACTTAACCAACATTTTTTTTTTTTTTTTTTTTTTTAATTACTTCCTCAGCAAGGTATTAGTTATCAAAAAAAACCACCAATCTCCTATTTCAATATGTGAGTGTACAAAAGATGCATTATTTGATTTTTCCTATTAGTGTGACACCCCTAATTGTTACCTTGTGGTATTAAAATCTTCTCATTCAATAGGAAATATTAGAACAGAATTGATTAAAGTGAACATCTTCATTGAACATACATAACTCAATCTCTTTGCAATAGATTGATTGCTTGTAAATGCTTTCTATTCACATTAAGAAATTTTCTAACATTATACATTAGGAAATTATGAATAGCTCCAAAAAACATCCCAAAAAGATTCCAAAAAAACCACTTCCAAAAAAATTATTTTCTTATGTGTCCTTCAAAAAAAAAAATCCTTTCACTGTTACAATGTAGACATATTATGCATATTTTATTCACAGCACTCTTATTTATGTTTTCTCCTTGTATATGCTTCGCTCTCAAGCATTTTGATGGTTCATTTTTTAAACGAAATATTTTGTTTACTGGTCGTAGTTAAGAAGCATGCGACTTCATTTGTGAAGTTTCAGTGAGACAAACAATCGTTAGGATTGAGACAAACGAACGTTAGGATTGTAGCACTGAGACATAAGCGATTCCAAACCGATTGTTATCCGATCTGCGCATGGCTCGCAAGCTGACGGAGTCTGAAGGAGGTTGCATGCGTTTCCTATCATCGAAGAGAAATCTGTCCTATTCTCTACACAGACCATGGAGAGAATTCAAGCAAATAGAATGGATCACAATTGTGTCCCTTTATCTTAAGTATGCGAAGAATAGACGTGGAAGGGCAACAATAAGAAACCTGGAAGTTCAAAGTTGTCAAAGACTAATGTGTGGGCAATCGTCCTTGGCTCTATTGTCGTCGTTCTCAATCTTCTGGGGTCCCCAATCGCTCTTGTTGTACTATAAACCTAACACCTCATCGCACTGCTCATGTCTGTGATCTGACTCAAAATGCTACGGAAATTGAAGTTACCGGGTTGCAATCAATCAAAGGCTTGGATACTGAATAAGAGAAAGAATTGTTCGGATTTCCGGAATTGGGTTTTTTTATTTCGTACAGAGATCTGAGCAATAAGTCATTCTACGTCACTAAGTCTGATTTTACAAAGAGCTCTCCGCTTCGACTTCACTTGTGTGACAATCGATTCAGTGTAGTGTCTCGAGTGGAGCCTATCCTAGAACATGTTTGACAATCTCAGAGCCAGTTAAAAAGGGAATGTTGCGACTGGCGGCCCAAGCCCTCGCAGGAGCAGGACGTAGAGCTCCGAAGTCGTCACCGTCATTGCTAAGCATAACGCAACCAACCATGACAGGCGTGACGCCTGCGGCGTTGGCTAGCGCTATGGACAACTCGGTATGCCCTGTGCGAACACTCAACCCCTTGCCATTCTCCACGCAGAGGAAAATGTGACCCGGGGTGTGAAACTCCTCCCCAAAACGCCTCTGAGACGCGTCTACGCTGGTTTCCATCTCTTTGACTTCCTGGAACAGCTCAGCTAACCGTCTGCAAGTGTAACTCCTCTCGACATCCGGAGCTCCAGTCTTGGTGGTCCGGTGATCCAGAGAAACCCCCACCGAACACGAGCCTTGACACATTTCCCCTTTCGACTTCTCCATGTACTGAAACACGGGGAATTTCGCGCTCACCTCTGTCAGTGCAAGCACATTTCCGATGTAGGGTAGCCCAAATGCCGACGCCACCTCGTGTCCGACCGACATGTACATCTCCCCGCCAGCTTGAGTGCGAAGCAGCCGCAGCGAGGCAGGAGAAAGGGACGCGGCGGGGAAGAAGAGGTCAGTCTCGCCTTCCCGCTCCTCCCCGTCCAACACTGCCACGCATTCCCCATTCCGCAATGCCTCCAGGGCTGCTTCCCATTGCGACGTCATCTCTCAATCTCTCTCTCACTCTCTGTCCACAACCCAGCTGATGATGATTCTACCAACGTCGTCTTCCCACAAGCAAAGTGTTGGGATGACAATGTCGGGCCCAAACACACACACACACACAGCTTCTTCTTCTACTTCTTCAACTTCATCTTCTTCTTCTTCTTCGCTCAGCGGTGGAGGAGGCACTCTATCTATCTCCTCACTCAATGCACGCCACTCCACCCCACCCCGGTGGCATTGCCAGGATATATCGGAGATGCACAGCCTGATCGATGAATGCTGCCAATTCTGCATCTTCTTCTTCTTCTGACCTCGTGTTTCAGAGAATATTATATCCTTAGATATTTTTTTCTTCAAGGGCTGCCCAAATGCAGCTGCTGCTGCTGCTGGATACTCACTCCTTTGGAGTTACGCCAAGTTAAGATCCGACCCTTCGAAATCCGATTCCATCCAGAAACTTGGTACCTCAGCTAGCAACGCGACGGCCACAAGAATGTGAATGGAAGGAATGATAGGAATCCAAGTATTTTTCTCTTTTTTTAGTGTCAAATTAGTAGCATTTTGTCTTTGTGGGTTGTATTGAAAACTTGCTTTTTTACAACATAGATCGGTGAGACATTACGGGAAAATGTGGAATTTTTTTCACTTGGGTCTCTCTCAACCTCAGAACTTGTTAGCATGAATATTTTTAGTACTAAACTTACCACTGTACCACCACGAGAAACAAAAGCTGTGAAAAAAACAAACTAGTTATCAAGCCTGATTGTTAAGATATTGGTTACAATCACTGTTCATTCCTCAAATGTTTTATTATACTCTAATTTTCTATTATTTCTCTGCTTTTTTACATAAATTTTTTTCTCGGTAACAATATGAATTTAGGGTGTAATGTAACATGCAATTGAGTGTCACATGTACAACTAAATAAATGTGTGTGTACAGTATGAGGTGCCTCAATCAATAGGATTTTAAGGGGCCTTTTGAGGTAATATTTTTAATTTACATTCTTTTAACTATATATTTGTAAGTATTCTTTAGATACAAAATGGGAGCATTTATTTTGAAATCTGACCTGGATCTACTAACATAAATGACAAAAGCATCCCAGCATCTAATGCAATTTTCAAATCAACTAACATAAAATTTGAGGATATATTGAAAAAGTTCACATGGAGTAGTCCAATAAAAATTTATAAACATATATATATATATATATATATATACATGCTTTGCATGAGGCATTTTGTAATTGCATCAAATTAATCATTAATTTTTTTAAACATGAATTAATCCATTGGTGATGAAATTAAGTGAAGGTACTTTTATCCAAAAGTAAACACTTCACTTGTTGCATAGTATAAGTGAAGAATGCCTATATGAATTTCTTTGGGAATTTTTTTTAAAATATCAACTTTAAAGTATGCATAACCAACTAGTTTTACTATAAAAAAATCATATTTATTGTACTACAATTTATCACATCAAGTTTATATATTGATTCATAAAGATATTTCTGATATAATTTTTGTCTTAGTGGAGTGAATTACCAACATGATTGTTGATATGCTTGTAAATTTAGAACAATTTTATAATATTTTCTTTACAAATTGTCCTTGATTGAATAAATATTATTTCAAGAAGAAGAATAAAAATCTACACTACTATTATGCAACCAATGCAAGTAATAAATATTATATACTTTTACAAACACCTTTTTATTTAGTTATTTGAAATAAAATCAACAGTTTTTTTTATTATCTAGCATTATAAGTTACTCTTGGTTTAATCTTGTATTAAAAAAAAAAAAAATCAAGAGATTTTACATGATAACAAAAATTAAAAACTGTAAAAAGAAAAATCTTTGCTCTTAACACAACATTACTGTGCAAATTGGACTATGGTGCATTCAATTTGTTTACATAAAAAAAAAAAAAAAAAAAAAAAAAAAATTGTATTAGTTTCTACTACCTAAAAAAATTGAATGATTATTTGATATACTTTAATATAATATAAATTTATATTACGTAAGTAAACCAAATATAGTATAAGCAAAATTAATAGAATCAAGTAGGTAATATACTCCTTAAAAAAACATTAGATACGGTTTTTAGATGCAAATTAAATTCAAAAATACTCTTAGATTTGCTATGTGTCTATTGACTTTTTTGTTTAGAAATTTTGGACACATAGAAAGCTATCCATGAAGTTCTTGTAGAAGCATTGTAAAATTGATATACTTGTATTTTAAGTCATACATTAATTATAAACTTTCTACAAAAAATTATAATTAGCTAGTGTGTTTATAGGCAAAATCGAGACTAATCTTAATCTTGTCAATAACTTACTTTAATTTTAGTCTTAATTCAACATTATCTAATTTCTTCACACTAAATAATAGCAATTACAGTAATTTGTAATTTTAGAGAACAATTTTTTTTTTCAATCTCCTTTCTTTTTTTGTTGTGCATGTTTTGTTTTAAATCTATCCAAATATATGTCTTAATAATTGTAACAAAACACATTCTAACAAACCTATAAGATATAGATAAAATGTAATATCTATTGCACTTTTTTAATCATATTGTATAATCTAGTAAAAATATAATGATTAAAAAAATTAAAATAATATTTATTTATTTTTTATTTTTTAAAGTGTCTCAATATTTAGGCTATCAACATATAACATATGTTTTTTTTAAAATCCTTGGCTTAAATATAGAATACTAATAATTGACAATCGTTTCTAAATGTCATTAATGTATAAAAATTAACCTTAAGTATTTGTATTTTAAAATTTATTGTAAATATTTTAATATATCAAATAATACTCTTATTTGTAAAAAGTTTGATTTTTAGATCATGCTTTACAATGCTATATAAATTATAGAAAATACAAATATCTTTCATATTATCTACTTAAATTGTCTTCTATCTCTTGGTTTTGTTATTGTTATAGGCTAATTTAACATAATACATAAAAAAGCATTGTCTCTTTCTTATACTAAATATCATAATATTTGAACTTGTTCTACCTAACTGGATTTGAATCAATTATACATATAAGAATTAATCTTTTTTGAATATGTTATTTAATTACTTGATAGCTTTTAATTAAATCAAAGTATGTGCATCCAAAAAAACATTAGTTCATACTTATCATATTCTATCTCTTTACATGCTATTGCATACAAAACTATGACTATGCATTCCTACAAAAGATGACACGTGTGGTTTTAAAGTTTTGAAATACAAGTTTATCAATTGATATTTTTTATTTTTGTATTCAAGAGAATATTAAATTTGATTGCTCATAATATATTTTTACAAAATCAAATTGACTAGTTAGTAATCTATACATAAATATTTATTTATTTATTTATTTGACTAATTACTAATCTAAATTTTCAAGTTATATAACTCCATTTTGAGAGAATTTTTCTAAGGATATCTAAAGTTGTCTCTGTAAATCAATATTGAATTTAAACATAAGTCAGTTTTTAAAGCAATAATTATACAAAACTTTGAAATAAATAATTTGAATTTAAAGTTATAAATTATTTGTAGACACTATTCAAATACAATTATTCACAATGCATTCTGAAAAGATAGGAAACATATGTAATATAAAAAGTTCAAATGACTTACAAATTTAAACACCTATATTTCACTATATCACCAACTTAGGTTTGCACTTCTTCTAAAAAAAAAAAAAAACAATTAATTTTAATGAATGTATGCATTTAATCAAAGAAAAGATTTTGAAAAAAGTTCTAAAATGAAACAGTTTTCTGTAATATACAAATTTATTTGATATCGATACTAACAATTATTCCATGCCAGTATAAGAATTTAACAGACAAGTTTGTATTAACAAATAGGCTGATAAAATTTTAGTTTAACCACACAAAAAAGGAAAATCAAAAACACAAAACCAAAGTACCTTCAACATATAGAATAATAACAATATTTATGACTGGCTTGAGTTCAAATTTGAAGCAAACATTTGCACCAAGTTGATGGAAAGATTAGCTTCAATGAGGTCCATTGTGGAAATCTCAGAAAGAGGAACACCCAATACAGCAATTAAACTACCAAAAAGCACTTACTTTAAAAACAACCATCTACATACGCAAAACCAAAGAATGTACAGAGCTGAGTAAATCAGATACGCATGTTAAGAAAGGGGTAAAAGAAAGTTGCATTTAGGAGGTAGTTTCTATACACTTCGCTTCATCTTATTCACCTTCCCAAAATCTACATACACTTTAGCTACAAAAGGTTTTTCCCACAAGCTGACTCTACATACGCTCTAGAGTTGCATAAATCGGAATCGCCTCCTTCTGCTGTTCTTTGCCCAGAAAAGGACCTTTGCGTACAAATTCTTCCAATCTGCTCAAAGTGTCTGTTGGTGGGATTTGTCCACGCTCAATAGCAGCAGATAGTGCGGTGGTCATAGCCACACAGCACACATGCCGCCATTCCATTGAATCTTTGCTAATTTCCAAGCGGGCATCTAAGAGATAATCGACCACTTCTCGAGATGCACAAAGCTCACGTAAACACCAAAGCCGCGCGAGCATCGGGGATGTGAAGCGATACATGGCGAGTCTCACCTCAGTTGACTGCTGAAAAAATATAAGAAACATTCCTGCGGGAGTACGAGTTGGTGATCTTTCTTCGGCAGCAGAGTAGATCATATCCTTCAACTGCGCTTCAGAGCTTTCACTTAACAACACATTACTGGGGTCTCGTTCTGATCCGGCTACCGTAGCTAAGACCTGTAAGCCTGCAAGTTTAATACAAAGAGTACGATCCAGGAAGGCAGCTTTTACCATGTGTCGTATGACCATGGTATGATCAAATAAAAGCTCGGCTCCTTTAACAGTCTTCGCGATAAAAGAGAGGGCATTGAGAGCGTTTTCGTACTCAGTCGTCTCTGTAGTCTGCCCCTTATCGTTCAGCTCTTCCAAATGCTTTAAAAGCTCACCGAAGGCATGGACAATACCTGATGCTTCTCGTACAGACAAAGGGGATCCAGGAGACTCATCGTACAAAGGAATAAGACGAGCGGCTACCGTCATAGCCCGAGACCGCACCAAAGAATCCAATGCGAGGTTGCATATTGTCGAGGTTAAGCGACCAATAAGGTTACCTGCAAGAAGAAACTTCGCACCATGGGAAGTCGCTGCAAGGTCGCAAAGGAGCTCCAATGCGTTCAGCTGCGCGAGCATGTCATCACTGTTGTCAAGTTCTGCTGCCAACACAGTGAATATTCCAGAATCTTGAACCGCGGCAGCTGCTTCCTCTGATATTCCAAAGATTGAAGCAGCCATAGAGAGAGCACGAATTCGGACGGTGGCAGAAGACTGAGAGGCCATATCCTTAAGCAATCCCGCCCCCGCACCTTTGGCGGTAAATATGAGCTCCAAACCACCGGGGTTTCTAGCAAGTTTGCCCAATGCATCGGCCGCCGCTTTGGCCACATGTGCATCTCCATCGCCGATAGCAAGAAGCAATGGCGCAGCCAAATGCGCTTCAGCAATTGCCCGCACCGCTGCGCCTCCATCTGTTTCACCACCCTCCAACAAATCCCCGATCGCAGAGCAAGTCAACTTGCGCACAAGCGACGACTCCGCTTTCAGTCCAACACCTGCATAACTCAACGTCTGCGGAAGCAACTTTTTCCCATACGCCGTTTGAAAAATCCTCTCTAACGATAAAGCAACCGACGATTCGAGGCCCGGAACATCCCGCCCAGTCTCAAGGGCACTCAAAAGAACGGGAAGCGGAAACTTCGACAGAAAACTCTCCGCAGAAGCGTCCGAAATATCCCCTGGGTAATTCGAAAATTCCGATGCCGCTGCAGCGATCAGAGGCAAATCCAAAGCCGGTTGATCGATATCCATATCCGCCATCGCAATCGATTCAATGCACACAAAGCTCTCTCGTGAAAACTATTCCCTCACTCAATCCCACAATAAAACCCTAAAACAATATCCATGCATGTCTGGCCTGGCAAGAGAGAGCAAGAGAGACGACCGCCGACGTGGCAAATGCTGACATGGATTCACAGGTGGCATCTGTTGGCTCATGCTGAGGTGTCAGGACTCTCATTTGCATGAGAACTCTCGTTCCCAGAATTTGGTAACTGTGTGTTCCCCTAAGTTCCAAGTCGTGTGAGATCAATGATGGACACATGTAGTAATTAAAGATGGATAATTCGTAAAGGAATTTTGAAGCATATTGAAAGGTTAATGGAAATGGATTATTCTTTGAGAGGTATGCTATTATAATGAACGCATCTACATGGGTTTAGGTATTTAGATTTGCTATTTAGTTTTGTTTTTCTGTTTTTTATAATTTTGAATGTTGAAGAACTAAGAACTAGAAAATAACCACCAACAAATGAAGATGTATAATTTTTTTTATTTTTTTATTTACAAACATGCCTTTATACAAGGATTAGAATGCAAAGAAAATAGATTTTGTAAATGCCATGATCTATACCTTGTAAAAAAGAAAAACCTTACTATTTTCATGATACAAATAATAGTATAAATAATTATTATTATGCTATATAAATAAAAATAATGTGTGTATGAAATAATGTAGACTTAGCGAGGGTGATCAAGAAGTGCAAGTGCAAACTATGACAGTGATTTAATCCACATTATATTACAAATACATGATAACAACACAAAAATTGTAAGGTCACTTCAATAATAAATTTAGTTTGAAAATTTGAATAATATTAAATTTATTAATAAATTGTTTTAAATATTTGAATAATAGATTTAATGTAATTTTTTATAATACAAATAAAATCTCCTTCAGATCTGAACAATTTATTTTATCATTTTTTGACGTTTTTAGTACTGATATTGATAAGTAAGAATTAAATTTTATAATTTAAAAATATTAGCTAATAAATTAATAATTAAATAAAGTATGTAAACTAATACATTTTAATATATATATATTTATTTATTTAATAGAATAAATACATCTGTTTAATATGTTTTTGATATAATATTAAAATCAGTTTTTTTATTATCGAGATATAGAACAGATTAAATAAATAACCTATTTCTCACAAAAATATAACCCATAAATGTATGTTTCATGTTCATAGTTGCATCTACATTCGTTCCACTCATTCATGAATAATAATAACAATTTTTTCTTGTCCTCATTGACTCATTCTTCACACCATGAACTCTGGATGTGGCAATCGTTGTCACAATGGCTTTGAGAGAACTTGCCGAAGTATCTATCGTGTGTGACCTTGATCCATCACCAACTAATACCAACTCCACATGAGCATCGACTGGCGCAGGCGTCGAAGACAGACCTCCGAAGAAGCGATCAACGAGTGGACTGTGAATGAATACATGAAGTACTTGCCTCATACGGTGGACTACTATTTTTCTTCCCCAATCTCTCGTTCAAAGCACATGATCTCATGGGACTAAGTCAGTGATTTCACAATGGTGGAAATGCCGTGATCGAAACCCAGAACTATCTCTTTTCAAGCTGTCGCTGCTACCAGTCCCGTATTTCCCCAACAAAATGTACTATCTCTAAGTTTCATTTGATAGACGGGCTGTCAAAATTAGGCGATGTGTGATAAATTTCTTAGCAAAGTCCTATCGACATTAAAACGTCGGATTGAATCACAAACTACACATTCGGATTTGAATATTTTTGTATTCGGAAATCATTATTACACGGTTAAATTTCTCTCTATGATGCCGCCGTGGGACGTCTTCCAGGTTAGAGAAACCTGGCCGCTTTCACAGTTACTGTTCCAGTGTCCTACGGTAAAGCTCCGTAAAGTGAAGCATGAATTATGTGTGTCGCTGATAAAGAACATCACCATGATTTCATCGCTCTCACGCCATTCTTCGTAGCCCACTCATGATGAAAACTAAGAGGGAAATGTATACAGGACTTAGATTAAGCGGAGAAACAATCGTTTAGTCCTTAATTTTGTACCTTGTCGTACATTTCACACACTGGCTTTTTTTAAACATGTTTGTTGTGCTTACGTGTGAGGTCAAGATCCCATCGTCTACGGCGTCGGGATATTGCAGGGTCAATAGCGTAATAAGGAGCCTCCATGATTTCGTCAACAATGGAGGTTTATACAGTTCCTTGTGAAGGAACAAGCAAAATACCAGTGGAGAGCAAACTATAAGAGCCTAAGCAGACATCCTTAACGCCGTGAATTTCTCGCTTTCTGGCAGGATACTCAATGGGCCCTGTTAATTTTATTTCTCGCTTCCCGAGTTTTATAAGCATCCTTGCGGATTCTGTTTCTCTCCCAGGAAACTTTCTAGCATTTTAACAAAGTCTGCAACCAAAATGGGGAGCTGGAGATCATCAACATGCGGCAACCATCGGCTGTCTCTTCTGATTGCAGCCATTGTCGTTCTCCGTTTCTTCACAAACATGGTTGCGGCAGCAGATCCTGACCCTCTCCAGGATTTCTGCGTTGCAGATCTGTCATATAGGATTGATTATCCAACTGTGTCGCTAAATTCAAGATAACAACCAGACTGAAATTCCATGCATGGTTCCCTGCGGAAGTTTAAAAGCAGAACACAAGACCTCTCGAAACTAGCCAAGTTTGCTTAATCGGAAATCGTAATGTCAAGGTCTTAGTCCCTTACCGTCAGGTTGGTCATTCTCATGGACATGGCATCAGTTTAAAAACGTACTATAGACCTAGACAAACTGCAGACACACTATTTTTGTCTCCTAAATGTATCCAAGTTCTTCACTAACACACTCAAATCCACTGCGAGAGTAAGTATATTCTTAGGCTAATCACCAACTCTTAAACCGTCAATATTCCTCGGTTATATCTAGGATTAGAGATTGAGAAATATTGACAGCTAAGTCGAGATCACAAAAGGAAGAAACAAGTTGAAGTAGTCAGCGTATTAAAATTTCTTATTCTGATTGTCATAAACCTTCCTCAGATCATCCTAGATCTTCGACTTATCAGTGCGAACGTCGACAATGAAACCCAATGTGTGATTATCCTTCAATTTCTTCCTAGCAAACTCAGTGGTCAGGGGTAACTTCTAAACTTCGAAGTTAAGGTTTTCACTTAGCCTGAGCATTCGTGCGTGGCTCTAGTTCTCCTAGGGATCTTTGGCCTGTGATGAGTTTCAGACATCCCCACCTTCCTTTGCAGCTTCAATTTGTTCAATGGTGCCTTTAACTCACCAACGACCTTCGTGGCTTTCCCCAGCCTGCATATTCGCAACCTTGGGTAAAGCAATGTAATCAAATTTGGAACTCTGACTAGCTTCCGTAGAGTGTTGATGTAACTGTGATCAGTCAATCCAGCTCAAAATGAGATGATACTTTTTTTGTAATCTTGCAAGATCAACAATTGTTGTCTAATTAAAACCTTATCTAGAAAAATCTTATTGTATTCAAGGGCAAAACCATAGATGAAGGAGAAAGAGTACATCATTTTTTCTAATTATTTAAAGAGTTCATTAATTTTTTTATTCAAGAAAAGGAAGTCGCAGCATACCAATGCTATAAGTATGTTGGCGATGGTTGCACAATGGGAGAGCTTTGGTAAAGAGATCAGGAAGGTTATTTGCGGATTCAATTTTCTTAATTATAAGTGCTTAATCAGTAATCAAGTCATGGGTATAACTAAAATACTTTGGATCAATATGCTTTGTCCTGATTTCTTTTAATAAATCAATTTGCATCTGTACAACACAAGCACTATTATCTTCATATAAGATAGTTGAAGAATCATCATATGAAAATCCATAGGTTGTTTGAATGAGTTTATCAATTGATTGCAACCAAATACATTTTTGAGATGTAAGGCAATAATTTTTGCATGGTTGGATGAAGTTGCACTTATAGTTTGTTTCAATGATTTCCATGATATTGCACCTCCGTGTCTTAAAAATACATATCATGTTTAACATTTAGTTGTTGAAGTATCAGATTTATATTTGGTATCACAATATCCAACCAATTTTGGATCTACAGATTGTGTATATTATAATCCTAAGTCTTCAATACCTTTTAAATATCGTAGTAAATATTTGGCACTATTCCAATGTCATAGTGTTAGACATGCATTATGTCTTACAAGAACACTAACTGCAAATGCAATATCTGGTCTGGTAGATGTAACTAAATATAAAAGTGATCAAATCGCCACAAAGTATGGATATTATTCTCCTAATATTTCCTCTTCTTCTTTGCATGGATGGTATAGATGATGACCATCATGACTAAATCCAATCATTGGTGTGGACAATAAATAAGCATCAATCATATTGAATCTTTGTAAGACTCATCTAATATACGTTAGTTGATAGAGAAAAATGCTACCATCTGTGAGATGCATAATCTAAAGACCAATGCAAAAAGTTGTTTTTCTTAGAATTTTTATAAATTTATTTATAATTAAATAATCTCAGAGTCATTGATACCACATGTGTCTAGATTATTTTAGATCGTACAGGGCCTTCTATAATTTAATACCACGATATCGTCTTGGAGCACGTACATTTGGAGTTCCTGTTTCCAAACCAGATGGAACTTTCATATAAATATCTACATCAAGTGAACCATATAAATATGTAGTTATCACATCTATAAGATGCATTTCAAGGGTGGCATGAACTACCATTCCAATAATATATTGGAATATAATTGAATCTATGACTAAAGAATATGTGGATTCATAATCAATGCCAAACCGTTGGATAAATCCTTGAGCAATAAGACGAGCTTTATAGTGGGTTATTTGACCTTTAGCATCTCACTTACGTATTAATACCATCTTATATTCTATAGGACGAGAAGTAAGAGTGTCCACAATTGGACGAAAGACTTTTCTCATATACAAAGAAGCATACTCCTCCTTAATGGCAATTTTCCATTTTAACCAATCAGAGCAATACATCACTTCCTCGATGGTTTGAGGTTCAGGACCATCTTCCTTGCAA